TACGCATATAATGAGTCTGCATTTCGCAGGGATCTCTTAAGTAGCTTTAAAAAATGTGTGACCCAGTTGAAAATACCATGGAAGGGTAACTCTTCACACCAAGGCAGCCCTCAGATTGCCCAAGAGCATGCACTGTTTTGTGACTGAACTGTTTATTTTGGACAAAAAAACATAAAAAGTACTCCAAACAGACCATAAAGCTGCCATGTACAGATTCTACATGAGGTTAGAGCATTTCCCCATGATTTTCTGTTTTGAGAGAGCAGGTGAAAGCATTTATGGGTACTGGTGAACACTTCTTTTTTTTTTTTTTTAATTTTTTATTTCTTTTCAGCTTAACAGTATTCATTGTTTTTGCTCCACACCCAGTGCTCCATGCAAACCGTGCCCTCTCCAATACCCACCACCTGGTTCCCCCAACCTCCCATCCCCCACCCCTTCAAAACCCTCAGATTGTTTTTCAGAGTCCATAGTCTCTCCTGGTTCACCTCCCCCTCCAATTTCCCTCAACTCCTTTCTCCTCTCCATCTCCCCTTGTCCTCCATGTTATTTGTTATGCTCCACAAATAAGTAAAACCATCTGATAATTAACTCTCTCTGCTTATTTCACTCAGCATAATCTCTTCCAGTGTCGTCCATGTTGCTACAAAAATTGGGTATTCAGGGGGGCACTTGGGTGGCTCAGTGGCTAAGCCTCTGCCTTCAGCTCAGGTCATGATCTCAGGGTCCTGGGATCGAGTCCCACATCAGGCTCTCTGCTCTGCGGGGAGCCTGCTTCCTCCTCTCTCTCTCTCTCTGCTTGCCTCTCCGCCCACTTGTGATCTCTGTCAAATAAATAAAATCTTCAAAAAAAATTGGGTATTCATCCTTTCTGATGGAGGCATAATACTCCATAGCGTATATGGACCACATCTTCCTTATCCATTTGTCTGTTGAAGGGCATCTTGGTTCTTTCCACAGTTTGGCGACCGTGGCCATTGCTGCTATAAACATTGGGGTACACATGGCCCATCTTTTCACTCCGTCTGTATCTTTGGGGTAAATACCCAGTAGTGTAATGGCAGGGTTATAGGGAAGCTCAATTTTTAATTTCTTGAGGAATCTCCACATGGTTTTCCAAAGTGGCTGCACCAACTTGCATTCCCATCAACAGTGTAAGAGGGTTCCCCTTTCTCCACATCCTTTCCAACACATGTTGTTTCCTGTCTCGCTAATTTTGGCCATTCTAACTTGTGTAAGGTGGTATCTCAATGTAGTTTTAATTTGAATCTCCCTTATGGCTAGTGATGATGAACATTTTTTCATGTGTCTGATAGCCATTTGTATGTCTTCATTGGAGAAGTGTCTGTTCATATCTTCTGCCCATTTTTTGACGTGATTATCTGTTTTGTGTTTTTTTAAAATTTATTTTCAGCATAACAGTATTCATTGTTTTTGCACCACACCCAGTGCTCCAAGCAATCCGTGCCCTCTCTAATACACTTCTCTGTGTGTTTTCTCCAATCTCTTGGGCCACAGGGTCTTAGTTGATGTTTCAGTGTTTTAGGTCCAAGGGTCTAGGATGGCTGACATTCTATACATGAAAGAGCATCAACCATCACCTGATCTGATGCTGTGGAAAATGAATGTGGTGGCTTTTCTCCTACCCCTGCCCTGCAGCGCTCACACGGTTTTTGGTAACTGCTGGTGGACCTGGTAGCATCAGAAGGGTCCTTCCACTGGGTTCTGACTGGGTTGGTCCCCTGGCCTCTGTGTTCCTGTGCTGTGGTTTCTTCACCATGCATACATACAAAGGAATTGCGTTGAGCACCTACTATGTGCCTGGTTCAGGTGACACTGGTGAGGAAGTCCAGTGGTGATGGTACTTGATGACATCTGGTCCATTTAGTTCCTGAAAAATGAGTCCTGTCCTGGAAGCCACAGAAACTGGTGGAAGTGCTACTATCACCCTCGACCATTCTGAGTACTTTATGGAAGGAGAAGGAGTGGCCACCAGGCTTTCTCCTTTTGCTTTGCTGGGAGACTGAGGTCCATGCACCTGCTGCCTCAAAGGTGTACCACTATCCGGATCTTCCATATATCATATTCCCGTGCCTTCCTCTAGGGCAGAGCGCCATTCCTCCTACACGTGGGCTCCACAGAGGACCCACTTCTCCCGTGTCCAAGATACTGGGAGAAGTCCAAACCCTTTCCAGGGGTCCAGGCCAAAGGGTACACATCCCTTCTCCATGTGTGGCTGTCAGCTTGTCACTGTGCTGTAAGTACCATGTGTCCAGATGGCCATGATGGCAAACAGCTCTGAACTTGAAGTGTCATCAAGAAGGCAAATGTTGGAACATGTCCATTGTGTCCCTTTCCTATTAATTTCGTGATGCATAAGTTACTTTTTAAACAAAGATGAGAATTCCGCATATGTCTTGAGTATAAAGTGCACAGAATGAAACAAAGTAAAAAACACATATCTTTGGGATACAGAGAATAAGCTTTCATGTGTGTATTTATAGACATAGAAGAGTTAAATATTCACCCAGCAAGATGAAAGTTAAGATTCTTCAATTCCAGGGAAAAGGTTAGTAAATAAGGCTTCAAATCATGTCCACAGAGAGGGTCAAAAAGCACAACACAGTCTTTCTAAGTCAGAATTTGGAGGAAAACGTGCTTCTACTTGGGCCTGGAATCCCAGGTGCTATGGTGCTGTGTGCTTTGTTTAGGTCACACTGCTGTTGGGAAAACGAGGAACAGAGCAGTTAGAACAAAATTACAGAAGACAAGCGTTAACCCAGGGACTCTAAAAATGATACTTGTTTATAAGAGATATAAGTTTGAGGCTTTACTTAGGAATTACTTTGGTTTCAGATGAAAGTCTAACAAATTTGGTCTTCTGATTTTCTAACTTACAACAGGGGGAAAATAGAACACTGGAAAGCGGTGTGAGCTGAGGGAGCCCGAGGAGGTCAGAAATGAGAAGCGGCAGTATGACATGAGAAGGGGGGCAGAAAATCCAGAGCAGTGAAGGGGGCTCCCAGTGAAGCTATACAGGGCAGCATGGGTTCAGGGAAACCACATTCCAGCTGAGCCCCGAGGACAGCCCTACGTCACCAGAAAGGCACATCTGCTCCTCTGTGTGGGGCGGGAGGGGTCACAACACTGCTGGTGTGCCTTCTATCTGAAGTTGCATTTGGGGGTGTGCATTGCAGTTATGTGCAGAATCTGTATGTGTGGAGGTCCTCGTTCCCTGCCAGCACGAGGCAGTGAGCAATGTTTGAGCAGTAACCTATTGATCAGTGTTGGAAATGGTGGTGAGGGAAGCACAGCAGAAGAGGGTGTCGAACTCAAAAGACTTACAACCAGTCCAACTCTGGGTGTCCAAAGCTGGGCTAAATTACATGCAGGTGTCCAGATGGCTCAGTGACGGTCCCGGAGAGTGCAGCTGGAGGACCCACCAGGTCATAACCAGGCTACTCCCAGGGGTAAAGCCGCTCCTGCTATCATTACTGGCCTCAGTCAACCAAAACTGACAGCGACCTGCTCCACTTGCAGAATCCCTCTCCTGTCCCTGCACTGTAGCCTCACACCAATGCTGTGCTTAGGACCAGACGGGCTGGCGGGATCTGCCTCCTATACTGGCCAGCTGGGCTGAGGCTGCCACACATCCAGATTTGCCAGCAGCTCTGCACTGGACCGGTGAGGTGGAGTGCCCCTCCCCACTACCCACAAATCCCCATGGTCCTGCTTGCCAACACTTACCTGGAGCTGGACGTCAGGGCTGCCCTGCATAGATGCAGGTGGCCAGGCAGGGTCAGAAGTGCAAGGAGGAAGGGTCAGGCTGGACTGCACCTGTTGTCTCCCCACAGCACCTGGGGCTGGGATGACCAGTCCGTCCTTGCTGTGCCTTGTGACTTCAGCTGGGCTATTGCCTTGACTGCTGCCTATGCCTGGGGAGCTACTCTTGGAGGACAGGAAGGGGCTCAACTGCAGGGTCCTGGGAATGGCATCTCTTGGGCAGCCCCCCAAGGGCTGGGTACTTGGCAACACTTCTCTCACTGGCCCACAAGCTTCCTGGGTCTGCAGCCCCATTTGTACCCATGGCTGCTGCTTGGCAGCTGGCCAGAGGTCCATGCTAGATGAGTCCTGCCTAGCCATAGGTCTATGCAGGAGCTCCTGGGAAGGACAGGCGAGCTCCCTGAGAGCTGGCTCACCACCAGGGAGTGAGGTGGGTGCTTTTGACTCCCAGTGGTGTCCATTAGGATACATGATGCTCCCTGTACTGACAGGGGTAAACCCCAGCACATAGGAGGAGTGTCACTTGCTGGCCCTGCCCACAGACGGCACAGGTGGGCCATGGTCGGCCACAGGTGGTGGAAGGAGTCAGGTTGGGCCTGTCTTGCTCCCTGCCCTGCCTCCGCCTCCACCTCGACAGGTACCAGAGCTGGCTGGTCCTGGACTGGGGAATCCCAAATGCTTTGCAAGGGATAGGTGCCATGGAAGGTGGGGTCTGGGGTGATCAAGGGCTCTTGACACTGTCCACTGTGTGAAGCTGTCCAGAGCATGGGTTCTTTGCAAAAATCCAGAACACCAGGGCCCAGCTGAGCCAGGTATTCAGGAACATTTTCTCCCAAAGGGAGTAAAAACGTATGGTTTGGCTGAAACACCTGGGCAGGTTGGCAGGGGCTGAGGTCAAATAGTGCTGGTTTCTGGCCTATCCTGAAATTCAGAGGTTCTGCCTGGCTGTGCTGAGGCTGACAGTGTGGAGGAGACTGGAATGTCGGGCCAGAGATGAGAAAGGGCTGGGTGTGTGTGCGAAGGGAACTGGGCACTGGCCTCATGTGCTGAGGCAGGGTTACTTCCATGGCCAGTGGGCCTAAGCCCAGAGAAGACTGTGGCTTCAGGGTGTGTGGAGCACTTGTGCTGGCTGGTGAGGGCAACGCCACATTCCCACCGTCATGAAGAAGCACTTTCTTTCCCCAGTGGGAGACCCCTCCATGGCTGGGTGGCAGTGGCTAGCAGTTCTGAGACTTTACAGGGTCTAGGTCGGCCCTGAGAAGGCTCTCTTCCCACAGACGCTGGTTGAGGTCATTGACCCCCAGGTGCTGGAGTGTGGAGCAGAGATCAGGCTGCTGGTCTGTGTCCTCCATCAGGGTCTCAATCAGAGCCAGGAGACAGCTGTCTTCCTCCTCCTCCTCTTCCTCGAGCTCATGTCTGTCATTGGACCCCCACATCTCCAAGGGTGAGCCTTGGCGGGTTGGGGCAATGCAGGGCAAGTACATGGATTCATCTTGCTGCATCATGGCTCCCAGAAGAGAGCCTGGGTGCAGAGGGCCCTGACTAGCGAGGGTGCTCTTCCTCGCCCTGATCCTATTCCTGGCTGGGAGGGTAGTCACAGGACTCGAGGGGCTGCTATCATACAGGATGGCTTCCCCTGTGGTGAAGGTGAATGGCAGCTGCAGGGCCCTCTTGCACAGGTGCTCCTCCCCCTCTGCATTCCTGCAGTGAAGAAAACACAAGACCATATCTGAGAATGGGTATAGGAATGAGAAAGGGGGTCTCCTGGTCAGGGGACAGTAGGGGCGACGTAACTGAACAAGTGAGCAAGTGCTGGACATCATCTGTTTTGGTTTTTCCATCCAAGGGAGAAGCCATAATATTGAACTTGCTTCTCTTTTGCAGTACAAAATTATGGTCAATACTTTCTGTTTTGAATTCAGAAGTAGTCTGAGAGGAAACTGCTTAATTGTGGGTTGAGTACTTCCAAAACACATGTAGACATTTCCTAAACTTCAATTTTACTTTGAGAATAAATCATTATGCAAATATGATACATGCACTGGGAAAAATAATTTCCCCCTCCTTCCCCCTCTCCCTTCCAAAAGATTCAAGGCACATGGCTGTTATAGGGCCACCCTGACAGTGATGTAACACCATGCTCAGCAAGGTGAAAACCCTTCATTTGCTGGCCTGACCCCACTTGGAATCCCCCATTTGGTTTGTAGCTCCACAAAGGAAAACTGAGCTAAAATGGAGTGTCTTTGGCAGAAGCTGACCAGGATGCTATGGGCATAGGAAACCCCATCTCTGGAGGGACCTTTCGAGAAGCTGGTATCTCACCTTAAGATCTCTGGTCATAGCCTATGTCTACTTTGTACGATATGAATACAGCCACTCTGCTTTTCTTGTACTTAGTGTATTACATATCCTTTGTATTATGTCTTGTTCAACTAATTTGTGTCACTATTTAGAAATATATCTCTTGTGCTTGCTTCAGTAGCACATATACTAAAAATATATCTCTCGCAGAAGGTATAAATGGTTGAGTGCTTTTTAAAAAATCCATTTTGACAATCTGTGTGTTTTAATCGGAGTGTTTCCTCCATTAACATTTAATGGCTTATTGGTATGTCTGGATTTGGGTCTTTTATATTATATTTCTGCTTATCCTCCTTCCCCCCCCATTCACCCCTTTCCTGCCTAGATATATTACTTTTTAAAGAAATTCATTTTCATTTATATACTGGATTTTTGGTTCTATCTTTTGCATTATATATATATATTTTTTTTTTAATAAATTTTATTTTTTATAAACATATATTTTTTTTCCCCAGGGGTACAAGTCTGTGAATCGCCAGGTTTACACACTTCACCGCACTCATCATAGCACATACCCTCCCCAATGTCCATAATAACCCCACCCCTCCTCCCCCCAGCAACCCTCAGTTTGTTTTGTGAGATTGTCACTTATGGTTTATCTCCCTCCCAATCCCATCTTGCTTCATTTACTCTTCTCCTACCCCCTTAACCCCCCATGTTGCAACTCCTCTCCCTCATATCAGGGAGATCATATGATAGTTGTCTTTCTCCGATTGACTTATTTCGCTAAGCATGATACCCTCTAGTTCCATCCACGTCGTCGCAAATGGCAAGATTTCATTTCTTTTGATGGCTGCATAGTATTCCATTGTGTATATATACCACATCTTCTTTATCCATTCGTCTGTTGATGGACATCTAGGTTCTTTCCATAGTTTGGCTATTGAAGACATTGCTGCTATAAACATTCGGGTGCATGTGCCCCTTTGGATTATATTTTTAATGGTTGCTTTAGAAATTATGAAATATCCTCTCAAGATTTCAATGTCTACTTAGAATTAGTACTGCGCCACTTTACATAAAACATATGCATCTTGCAATGGTCCATGTACTAACACCCATCCTTTATGCCAGAGATGTCATATATATTTATGTATGTTATAAATTCCATACTATGTTATATTTTTGGCTTTAAGCAGTCACATGTATTTTTTAAAAAGGAAAAATAATATTTTATATTTATCCACATGTTTACCATTTCTCATCCTGTTCACTTCTTTTTCAAGATTCAAGGTCTTAGTGGATACCATTTTCCTTCCACCTGATATATATCTTTTAGCATTTCTTACAGTGCAGGTCTGCTGGCAATAAATTGTTGAAATTTTTTAATGAAAATGTCTTCATTTGCTATTATTTTTGAAGGATATGTTCACCGGTCACAGAATTCAGAGTTGACAATTTGTAAAAGCACTTCAAAGATACTGTTCTAATGTCTTCTGATCACCATTGTTTCTGTTGAAAAGTCCACAATAATTTGAGTTGTTTCTTATATGTAATGTGTTTTTAATCTTAGATTGCTTTAAAAGTTTTCTCTTTATCTTTGGTATTCAACAATCAGACCAGAATACGCCTTGGTATGGCTTTCTCTGTATTTTTCCTTCTTGGAATTCACTGAGGCTCTTGAATCTGTAATTGTAACTTTTGCCAAACTGGGAAGTTTCTGGTCATTGTTTCTTCAAACATGTATACACACACATGCGCATACATATATAGATAGACAAAATACATGCATAGATATATTGCCCACTCTGTTTTTTCCCCCCTGGGGTTCCATTGACTTATGTTAGATCTTTTAACGTTGTCCCATAGATCCCTGAGGCTGTTTATTTCTTTTTTCAGTATTTTTCCTCTTTGTTCTGCAGAATGGATGACTTTATTGATCTAGCTTCAAGTCATAAACTCTCCTGTCATCTCCGACCTGTTGTTAAATCCACCCAGTGAACTTTCTATTTTCGGTACAGTTTCTGCTTTTCTACTAGGAGTTTGTATCTTTTCAGGCATCATACGCATATTTTCTTTTGTGTTTGTAGGCATAATTATAGTAGTTGCTCTAAGATTTTTATTCAGTGGCTGGGCCATCCTAAGGCTACTCTCCATTGATTGCCTTTATTTGGAAACTTTCCAGTTTTTTCATATGCCAAATAATTTTGGGTTGCATTCTTGGCCAAATAACAAGTAATTTTGGATTTAATCTTAGAGATTGTGATGATACATTGTAGATTTGGATTCTATTATGTTCCTCCAAAGATCATTGGTATTTTCATTTTGTTCAATTGGACAGAAAGTGCAAATTCTGTTTCCCTTGTGATGGGCAACAGCTGAAATCTCTGTTCTGTTCTTTTGGCCTTAGGTTGGCTCATACATCCCACACATGCATGGTTCAGGGGTTAGCAGATTAGGGTTGAGTTTATTCATAGAATATGAAGGCTCTTTCTCTTTGGCTCTCTCTCTAGAAGAGAGATGTTAAAAAACAGAAATTATTTTTTCATTTTGCAGTTGCTGCAGTTCCTCCATTCTCTGTTGTCTGGTTCTTGTGTCATTAGGACTAAATTTTTCTATTGGAGTGTTTAACTGCCCAGCACCAAGTGAAGTCTTCCCTCAGACCAAAAGCAGTAGAACCCAGGGAGCTCACCCAGTGCCATTCTCTTCTTTCAAGCACTGACTTTGGTTAGTTGTTGTTTTTAGTATTTTCTCCAGAAGTTTGTAGTTGTCGTTATAGCTGTTACTTATGAGAACACTGATGCAAAAAGGGAAACTTCACCAGTATCAGAAGCAGAACCATTCCAGGAAAATTTAACAAAAAGAGAATAAAACATGGATACATTTTCATAGTAAAAGGTATGAGGTAAAGGCTTAACTTTCCCCATCCGCCAAATGGCTAATCTGTTGCCCCAACCTCACTTTGTCCTGTCCTTGTGGGTCTGAAACGCACCCTTAATTGAACACTTCATCTTCCACGTGTTCACGCGTGTCTGTTTCTTGACACCCTGCCTCTTCATTGCTCTACTTGGCGTTGGGACAACTCTGTGCAATACGCTTGGCCGGAGAATAAGCTGGTACAGCCTTTCTGGAAAGCAACCTGATGGCAGTACCAAGGGTCTTTGAAAAGTCTGAACACTTTGACCTAAAAATTCCACTCCTGAGCATCTAATGAAATCAGAAGAGCAGCCAGATATTTACACACGAAACTGCTCATCACAATGCCTCCCTAATAATGAAAAAACCCTTCCAAATTTCAATATTTAATGAAAGGCTATGACGTGTCACAAACAGGAGTCTATTACACAGTCAAAAAGATTTCCAGGGATAATTCTGGTATGAGAAATTGCTTTTAACGCATCCTTATGTGGAAAAAACCAGAATGTAAAACTACCTACAGGATATAATTTCAAGTATAAAACTTAAATACGAGCCAAAACATACCTGAAGGAAATGCACCCATAATCGATAACCATCTTTCTGAGCAGTCGGGTCACAGCCGATTCTCCTCTCCCTGTCGCAGTGTTTTTCATTTTCTGAATGTTCTAGAACGGGCTCGTATTTCTCTCACACCCCACCAAGCGGACATTCCTCAACGAAGCCGCCAGACTGCGACCCGCGGGAACCAAAGAGCGACAGCGGACGGCGCCGCGGAAGATCTCCGATGCTCCCAGGGAGCAGAGTGAGGCGCACCCGGGAGGACGTTCTCCGAAGCCGGGGCGGACTCCGGCTCGTCGGCAGTTCCCGTGAGGCGCAGCATCCGCGGAGGCCGCAGCTCGGAAAGCAGGAGCTTCCGCTGCGGGCGGCGTCCTCCGGCCTCACCGCACGTCCGGCCACTGTCCGAAACGCGCCGCTAGTTGAGACCGGCCCAGACGGCTCCCACGGGCGGCCTCATCCCCCTCCGCTGCCGTCCACCCCGTACGCGAACCCCGAGGTGGGGCTCGGCCCTGCAGGCTCACCGGCCGCAAGAGCACGTTCCGCGGGCGTCGCGCTGGCAAAAGCGAGCGTCGTCGCGTCTGCAGGCGGACCGGGCGCAGCGGGACGTGCAGCTCGTCCTTCCCGGAGCAGGGGCCGGTGTTCGCCGCCAGAGCGCCGACGGCGGAGACCAGCCTGCGGAGCCGCGGCCCGGGCGGCTTCCCGCGCAAACGCCCGCACGTCACGACGCCCAGCGGCGCGGGGGAAGGCGGCCGCGCGCGTCCAGGAGAGGCGCCAGCCGGCCGTCAGCAGCGCGCCGCCGAGGCGCGGGAGAGTCCGTCTGGGAGCGCCCCGCGGCCGGGTTCGGAGACACCGCGCGACCGGACGCCCTCTCGGCGGGGCGTCCCGGGAAGCAGCGCGCGCGGGCTGGGCTTGGTGGCTCGGCGGCCGCAGGCGCGTCCCCGACGGGACCCGATGCCCACGGATTCCTGCGCCCCGCGCTGCCGGCCTCGCCCGCCAGGGCCCACGAGCCCGCGGCCGTTGGGCGCTTTCCCGCCTCACCACGGCCCGGGAACGCAGCCCGCCGTCCGCAGCCAGACCGGAGAGCAGCCGGGGCTGCGCTGTGCCCGCGACGCCAAGGGCGGGAGAGGCTGACGGCCGGCGGCGCTCGCGGTCGCACGGGCGTGGGGCCGTCCTTCACGGGCTCGCTGTTACCACACGTCCTCGGGCGGCGGCGGGGGGAACCTCATTTCCCGCCAGTTCGCTCTGCCGTCAGGTACCGCGGATGTCGGGCGGCACTTACGTCACGACCGTGCGTCCCCGCGGGGGCTCACTTTCGACAGGCCCTCCCTTCCGGCCGGCCTCATTTACGGCGGGGCCCTCGCTTACGTCAGGGCCCGCTGTCGGGCCGCGATGCGGTCGGGTTGGCCGTCGCGGAACAGCAGGAGGGCGGCCGACTGCACCCACAGCCAGCCGGCCTGCTTGGTGAGCAGCCGGAACACGGTGAGGCCGCTCTCGCCCGTCCTCAACACTGCGGGGTCGGGCGAGAGGGAGACTGTGCTCGCGGAGCCCGCCCCCCCCCCCCGCCCCGCGCCAACCCCGAGGGCGCCCCCGCACTCACGCCGCACTTGGTTCTCTGTGCAGTGCATCATGTCCGCCGCGTGGATGAACTGGTAGCCCGAGTCCCGCCTGCGGAGTTCGCTGTCCGTGTCCCCAGCACCACCTTGCCTCTGCGGGGACACAGCGCACCCCTCGTCGTGCAGCCCCGGCCCCGCCCTCCCCAGCGCCTCGCAGGAAGCCTTTGCTGGCGGGGAGCAGCCTTCCCTGGTCCCTCCAGGTCCGGAAGGTCCAGGCACCTGCCCTCGCGCGGGGCTGGACCTCGAGGAGAGGCCCCGCACTGGCCGCAGAGTGGTGCCCTGTCGGACGCACTTGTACCGCACAGCGGCCCCAGAATTCCGCTTCAAGCCTGTGCTGTGGACGGGGGGCTGTGCTCCCCATGAGCCCGGTTAAGGGCGAATTCTCGGTGACCCCCCAGCATGCGAGGGACCAGTGTCTTTGAGGAAGAAGTAAGACTTGCAGGGGACAGTACTGACAGTAGAGCCAGTGCTTTCTGGACTGTGTTCTAAGGGGCGCCCCAAGAAGGGTTCGGTGCTCCAGTGAAACTTGGAACACTCGGGGCCAACCTAGTTAGTTAGATTTTTCGTAATGGGGCTGCTTCATGGTTCACTGTGATTCGTTACTGGAAGTCTCTGAGGGGGGGACAAGTGGTACTTGGGATTTGCTTTCTGCATCATACTAACCCTAGACCCCATATTCCCCCACTGAAGTTTGCTGCATTGCCCCTGTGAGCAGCATCTTTTCTGCTCATTCACAGAACCTGTTTGGACAGGATTGGCCAATGGTTCTTGCTTTGCCTTTGGTTCCAGACTCAGGATTTGGGCCATAATTACTCTTGGAGCACTCTTGCTTCCTTAGGAGTTAGGGATGTACCTGGACTCACAGGCTATAGGCGTGAAATCCAGTTTGTGTTTTGTTTGGAAAAGAAATGTTTTATTTTGGAGCTCCAGGATGGTGAGTGGCTGGTGAGGTGTTGCAATGGCAAACAGGGTGCCTTGAGGAGACCTAAGGGTGCCGTCTTCTGACCTCTTCTGTGCAGGGAGGAATTTTAGATGTCCATGGAAATTCAACTCCTAGAAAAAGTAGACCCCAAACATAATGAGAAAAGAGAAGAGGATGTTAAGTAGCTGAAATAGTCGATTTAACTTTCCTCTTATGGAACTCAGAGGGACCGTACCCGCCTTGTAGTTGAACAGGCTCGGTCTAGGTGTGTGTGCAGGTTTGGAGCCTCCTCATTCTGCTCTCCCATTAAGCCCTGATCATTTTTCAGGGCTTCTCAGTCCTCCCTTAGGTCCCTGACCCACACAGCCTTTTTCACAGAGCTGCAGAGTTACTTGAGCTGTGAGAGGGCACACATTTCTAGGAATTGGTAGACACTGTTAGCTAATTTGGAGGATGGTGAAGGAGGTGGATGTTAACTTCCTGAGTTCACCAGGGATCTCCACTTAGGCTGTAATATAGGTAACAGTAAATCCCAAGTAAAACAAATCCCGTAACTTAACCAGGCAGAGGAATGTTCAAAAGACAACGTGTGTTCTGAAATGGCAGTGAGCTGAAGGCCAGATTCACCATCCTGGGTGGTGAGGAGGCCTGGCTCAATGCATGAGTAGTATCCCATCTGGGCAGAGCACTGGTGTAGAAGTTTCTGAGCCTGTAAGGACAGTGTGATTACCAGAAACCCAGAAGAATTGTCCAGCAGGCAGTGGAACCGACAGACAAAACTTCTTTCCAGATTGGATGGGTCCTCCAAGGGCTGATGCTTCAGGCTGTCCGTGGAGGCACCACTAAGTGAGAGAAACCTCTCTAGGCAGAGCTGGGAAGACAGACACATGAGGAAGCTCTACCAGAACACTCATCACCATCGAACTGAAGTATTTATAGTTCTCAAAGAAGCTGGTGGGTGGAGAGAATGTGGGGTCACAAGCCCTGTGGCCCAGTGAACCTTGGCCTTCCCAGTAGGAGGACCTTGATCCACCACCCAAGCTGGCTTTCTCATTCTTCAGATGCCGTGTGATCTGATTCCTCCCAGCACCCCTTCCTGCCCAGGCGCCTGCCAGTTAGTTTCCCCTTCATTGTGTCCTTCTCAGTGGCCTCCTGGCCATTCCTTATCTATGCTAACTGCACTTCTGCCTCAGGGACTTTGCATTCCTGGTGTTTTTTCTCCTGGCACTGCCCTCCTGTTGTGGAGTGCTGGTTCAGCTTGCTCTCTTTCCTGTCATACGGGTTTGTAGGGAAGTCTTTGCAGAGGATAATGAGAAAAAACCCAAACTCTTGGGTTAAAAATAGAAGGTTCATTGGAGCCTCATTAGAAAGTCAAAGATGAAAAAACCAAATTTATTCTCTTTTGCTGTAATTCTCAATCTGACAAGTCAGATTGTAGTTACATGGATGGTTTTCTCTGTGCCACATGAAAATTGATTGGTTTAGACAAGTTCTACAGAAGAAGAAAGGCAGGCTAGAGGGAGGAACAAAGGAAGGCTTATGATCTGGTAAGTGTTACTACTTTCGTAATCTCATTTGGTAAAACCCCTAGTACAGTGCCTGGAACATGGTGTACCCTCAGTAAATGTTAGAACATAACACACACACACACACACACACACACACATTTCAAGCACACACCAGCTTGAATGGGGTTTAGTTGGGTGGTCTTCAGACATTTTCCCGGCATTTTAATAGCACTGCATTGAAGTTTTATTTTGAAGAACTGTCCTGCGTATACTTATGAACATATAGGTACGCTGCTGTATGTTTTCTGCTACTGCAGGGGTATGGTGGTGTAAAAGGTATTTAAAAATAAGAAGTTATATGCAAAATTCCAGGATATCCATTGTTAAGGATGTAGTTCAAACTTGGCAGTGCCAGGAGCCATATGAAAGTCTGAACCTCAAACTTCTTTTCTCTTTTGACGCTAGCTGGTCAGCAGGGACGGGGTGGAGACTCAGAGGTGAAAAGCTCAATGCTGAGGACAGGCTAATAATCTAATGGGAAAGAGAAAAAGGGAAGACCTATTTTGGGATAAGTAACTTTCCTGCTGGACTTAATGGTGAGTCAAGAAAGAGTCTTGTGCGGGGTCTGGAGTGGGATCGAGCTTTGGAAAGAGATGGGCTGAAATCCCAGCAGCCAAAGCTGAACCGAATTAAAGCTGTGTCTTAGGAAGTTACACAACTGTATCTTATAGTCAGTCTTGTAGCTTTATTCTTGCTTAGTATTTTAAGTTATCTTTCACAAAGGCATGTCATTATTAGTGTGCAAGCATTGGCATATGGATTTATTTTTTTCCAACTGAAGCCTCTCATTTTTGAGTATTTTATTTTTTTCTAACCATCCCTCACAACAAAGGAAGAGTCTTTCTTCGCATCCTGTGTGGGTGCATTAAATGTACTCCAAATCCTTGCAGAGGGTCCTGTGTCTGCACTTACAAAATGGCATTTACTGTAAATGACAGTATTATTGCCTTTTGCCTACGGTAACCCACCAGTTGGCACATACTCTGGCCGTCATGTTGTATACTCACCACAGACACAAATCTGAGTCCCTACCAGCTTGATCATGGTTCAGGGGATGCACTTGTCTAGGCAGGCAGGGTATTCCTCCGGCGTGAATCTTCTCACGCGCTAGTTGGCTCCATCTGGGCAGACATCCCTCTCCTCATCTGAACATGTATTTGTCCAGGCAGCTAATGTTTACTTTGTCTCAGGTACTCTTCCAGGTTCTGGGAATACGTCAGTGAACAAGATTGGCAAAATCCCTCCGTGCATCCTACTGGTAGTAAAATCAGCAGATACTCATGCCTCGTGTATTTTCCAGTTCCTAGGAGGATCAGGTGAGGTCATGGATAAGAAATGGTTCTCAAAGATGCAGAGTCCTACGCCAACACACTGCCCAATTCCCGATGCAGCCCCTCCTCCTCTCTTCCCCTCGTATACCTGGGTGAGTGCTCCTTCAGTGCTTAATGAAATAGACATTGGAGCTGAGAAAGCCCGACGTCCTGGTCTCATTTCTTCCTCATGGACTATAGGGTTAAAACACAGGTACAGGGTTGATTTTTCATTTAGTCCCTTCCCCTCACAAGCCTCAGTGACCTACGGTGGGTGTCCTGCGCTCCCTCTCTGCTGACAGGTGCTGCATCTGCAGGCCAAAGAAACTGGCTCTGGAACATGGCTCTGTCCTTGTGGATCAGCTCGAACACGCTCTGATAGATGACATCTGACTGAAAAGACCAAGCGGCAAAATCACACTCCTGGGGATGCTTCTTGCCTTCGCCAGGCTATGTGTGACCTGTTCACCTCAAATGTCCCTGAGTCATCTCTAGCACATCTGATCTTTCCAGGTATCCTGGACTCGCCTGTCCTTGTCCCTCCCCATGCTGGGGGCTGGCTGGTGCATGTTGTTTCTGTTTCCCTCTTCTGGCTATGCACAGCCAAATTCTTAAGCTGTTGCTGCCCTCGGGCCCAGAAAATACCCATGAGGTGGGCACTCCCATGGCGTTGGAGGCCATGCCTGTATTGTGTCTTGAAAAGGGTGGCAGTTCTTGGGGCCAAGGGTAAAAAAGGAGACTGCCTAGGAGGCAAGTTACAAGTCATCATCAGGGAGATGTCTGAGGTGGGGGGACCCCTAGGAAGCCAATGAAATAGCCCTGGAGAGTTGGCTGAAAGCTCTTTGGAAGGAGAATGTTGAGTTTCTCAGGAAGTCAGTCCTCAGCTCTTCTGGGTAACACAATTAGACTGAATTAGAACAAGACCTCATTTCCAGGGATATGATGGTCATGACAATGTGTCTCTCAGATTTCTGATGGAAGAGCATGTGAGGTTGCCCCTCTTGGATGCACAACTGTTTGTGTTGGGGCCACAGTTCCTACAGATTGCTCCCAGCCAGTGACTGGGCATGGCAGGGACACCAAGGCAGGTCTGTTCGTGGGAGAAGAGAGTCTTGTTCTGTGGGTGACTTTGGATTGAGGATGCCCCATTGACACTGCACTGCTGTTGGAGACTCTTCCACCCTTCCCCATTCCTTCCCAGGCTCTTGCCCAAGGGTCAGATGTACTGCCCTCAACCCCTGTTCCCTCCCAGTTTCTCCCAGGATTTTCTCCTGAGGAATCTCTTGTTCATCTCACCCAGCCTTGGCATCTGCTTCTCAGAGGCTCTAGGCTACCATGCCTTCCACCAGATGAGGAAGTCATTACTCTGGGAAGGCTCAGTGGAAGACTTATGATGTCTATGTGCGGGATTGAGATGGAGACCCAGGTCTTTGAAATTCCATTATAGCCCCATGGAGACAAGTATCACATGGCCTCGTCTTCTTCCCCCAACTAGATTCAGCCAAACTCTTCAAATGAAAAGTAAAACCACTCACTTGATGAAATCCCAGGTAGTCTTGGACTGTGGGAGAGACGTAGAAAACATAGCTATCTTCTGTAACTGCCATGAAGAAGCCATTGAGAGCCTGGGGGAGAGGCAGAGAAGAGTTAATTCTGGTTTATTCCTTATTCCTCAGTCTTGTGGAGCTTCTAATGGCCAGGATCAGGGTCATGAGGAGTTTTCATGAGGTTCCTTTTGGTTCCTTTTGGGGAGCATTGCCACTCATATCCTGAATTGTCACTTCTAAAGTAGATCCTGGGATATCCCATTACAAATATCGCTCCTCACACCAGCTCCTGAGAGAAAGCATGTGGGTGCATGTGTATAGGTGTGTGTCTGAGGCAGCCAAGTAGAGCCATATTCCAGGTTCAATCTATTGAGAACACTGCAAATTGAGCAGTTAAACAAATACACATGCATGTATTGTTTTTCCCTCTGCATCTCTCTTGTGGGCCTCACCCTTTGCTTAAACAAATCCATTCACGGGTTCTCACCTGTAGGAGATGACAAAGCAGCTCCATGTTCTCCACTGGCCGAGGCTGCATGTTGATCTCACCTGGGCAGGTGGCTAAAAAAAGTGCTCACTTGTCCTCCCATCCCTTCTGGAATCCACCCTATTAGAAACTCCGCATATAAATTTTTAACCATTTCCTCTGGGGATCCTGAGGAAACATCCAATCTTAGGACAAGGTTTGGGTTATGATTGAGATGCATTCTAATTTTAAGCTTTCAGGGGAACCATGTGGTTATGGTTTGCTTGTGAGGAAATACTAGTTAATCTACTCTGCTCCAGAAGCCTCATGTATGCATTCAGGGTTGTGGAAATAAATGAACAACAACAAAATTGGGGAAAAGCAGAGGCTATGTGTTCAGAGCTTGCTACAGTAAGGGAGTCAGACACAGTCACCTGAGTTTTAGCAAAGACTCAAAGGCAGACATAGAAGGAGGGAAAGCTTCATAGTGGAGAAAAGGGATGGCTTCAGGTGTGACCTGACTGGAAGCTGTTGACATGGGGTGGCTGGAGGTGGCTAACTAGATGTAGCATCTCCTATGTGACTGGTTAGGGGAGCATATCCGGCTTTCTCTCTTTGGTTGTGAGTTGGAAGCAGGGAAAAAAATTAGGGAAGCCGCCAGTTATTCATCAAGTCCTGGCCATTCTGCATTGATTGTTACAGAAGTCATTGTTCTGCTTCCTGAATGTTACTAGAGATAGTAGTCTGATTTTCTAAAAGTCTGACTTACATAGGCTGACTTTGAGGATAAATGTTTATTGTAAACAAGGGTTTGGATTCCTGGAAAGGGTGCTGCAGGTTGTGAGTCAGAGTTCTATTTTTTTTTAATTTTATTTTTTATAAACATATATTTTTATCCCCAAGGGTACAGGTCTGTGAATCGCTGGGTTTACACACTTCACAGCACTCACCATAGCACATACCCTCCCCAGTGTCCATAACCACACCCCCCTCTCCCACCCCCCCACCCCCATCAACCCTCAGTTTGTTTTATGAAATTAAGAGTCACTTATGGTTTGTCTCCCTCCCAATCCCATCTTGTTTCATTTACTCTTCTCCTACCCCCTTAACCCCCCATGTTGCATCTCCTCTCCCTCATATCAGGGAGATCATATGATAGTTGTCTTTTTCTGATTGACTTATTTCGCTAAGCATGATACCCTCTAGTTCCATCCACGTCATCGCAAATGGCAAGATTTCATTTCTTTTGATGGCTGCATAGTATTCCATTGTGTATATATACCACATCTTCTTTATCCATTCGTCTGTTGATGGACATCTAGGTTCTTTCCATAGTTTGGCTATTGTAGACATTGCTGCTATAAACATTTGGGTGCACGTGCCCCTTCGGATCACTACGTTTGTATCTTTAGGGTAAATACCCAGCATTGCAATTGCTGGGTCATAGAGTAGTTCTATTTTCAACATTTTGAGGAACCTCCATGCTGTTTTCCAGAGTGGTTGCACCAGCTTGCATTCCCACCAACAGTGTAGGAGGGTTCCCCTTTCTCCGCATCCTCGCCAGCATCTGCCATTTCTTGACTTGTTAATTTTAGCCATTCTGACTGGTGTGAGGTGGTATCTCATTGTGGTTTTGATTTGTATTTCCCTGATGCCGAGTGATATGGAGCACTTTTTCATGTGTCTCTTGGCCATCTGGATGTCTTCTTTGCAGAAATGTCTGTTCATGTCTTCTGCCCATTTCTTGATTGGATTATTTGTTATTTGGGTGTTGAGTTTGCTAAGTTCTTTATAGGTTTTGGACACTAGCCCTTTATCTGATATGTCGTTTGCAAATATCTTCTCCCATTCTGTCAGTTGTCTTTTGGTTTTGTTAACTGTTTCCTTTGCTGTGCAAAAGCTTTTGATCTTGATAAAATCCCAATAGTTCATTTTTGCCCTCGCTTCCCTTGCCTTTGGCGATGTTCCTAGGAAGATGTTGCTGCGGCTGAGGTCGAAGAGGTTGCTGCCTGTGTTCGCCTCAAGGATTTTGATGGATTCCTTTCTCACATTGAGGTCCTTCATCCATTTTGAGTCTATTTTCATGTGTGGTGTAAGGAAATGATCCAATTTCATTTTTCTGCATGTGGCTATCCAATTTTCCCAACACCACTTATTGAAGAGGCTGTCTTTTTTACAGTGGACATTCTTTCCTGCTTTGTCGAAGATTAGTTGACCATAGAGTTGAGGGTCTATTTCTGGGCTCTCTATTCTGTTCCATTGATCTATGTGTCTGTTTTTGTGCCAGTACCATGCTGTCTTGATGATGACAGCTTTGTAATAGAGCTTGAAGTCCGGAATTGTGATGCCACCAACTTTGGCTTTCTTTTTCAATATTCCTTTGGCTATTCGAGATCTTTTCTGGTTCCATATAAGTTTTAGGATTATTTGTTCCATTTCTTTGAAAAAAAATGGATGGTACTTTGATAGGAATTGCATTAAATGTGTAGATTGCTTTAGGTAGCATAGACATTTTCACAATATTTATTCTTCCATTCCAGGAACATGGAACATTTTTCCATTTCTTTGTGTCTTCCTCAATTTCTTTCATGAGTACTTTATAGTTTTCTGTGTATAGATTCTTAGTCTCTTTGGTTAGGTTTATTCCTAGGTATCTTATAGTTTTGGGTGCAATTGTAAATGGGATGGACTCCTTAATTTCTCTTTCTTCTGTCTTGTTGTTGGTGTAGAGAAATGCAACTGATTTCTGTGCATTGATTTTATATCCTGACACTTTACTGAATTCCTGTACAAGTTCTAGCAGTTTTGGAGTGGAGTCTTTTGGGTTTTCCACATATAGTATCATATCATCTGCAAAGAGTGATAGTTTGACTTCTTCTTTGCCGATTTGGATGCCTTTAATTTCTTTTTGTGGTCTGATTGCTGAGGCTAGGACTTCTAGTACTATGTTGAATAGCAGTGGTGATAACAGACATCCCTGCCGTGTTCCTGACCTTAGCGGAAAAGCTTTCAGTTTTTCTCCATTCAGAATGATATTTGTGGTGGGTTTTTCATAGATGGCTTTGATAATATTGAGGTATATGCCCTCTATCCCTACACTTTGAAGAGTTTTGATCAGGAAGGGATGCTATACTTTGTCAAATGCTTTTTCAGCATCTATGGAGAGTATCATATGGTTCTTATTCTTTCTTTTATTAATGTGTTGTATCACATTGATTGATTTGCAGATGTTGAACCAACCTTGCAGCCCTGGAATAAATCCCACTTGGTCGTGGTGAATAATCCTTTTAATGTACTGTTGAATCCTATTGGCTAGTATTTTGGTGAGAATTTTTGCATCTGTGTTCATCAAGGATATTGGTCTGTAGTTCTCTTTTTTGATGGGATCCTTGTCTGGTTTTGGGATTAAGGTGATGCTGGCCTCATATAATGAGTTTGGAAGTTTTCCTTCCATTTCTATTTTTTGGAACAGTTTCAGGAGAATAGGAATTAGTTCTTCTTTAAATGTTTGGTAGAATTCCCCCGGGAAGCCGTCTGGCCCTGGGCTTTTGTTTGTTTGGAGGTTTTTGATGACTGTTTCAATCTCCTTACTGGTTATGGGTCTGTTCAGGCTTTCTATTTCTTCCTGGTTCAGTTGTGGTAGTTTATGTGTCTCTAGGAATGCATCCATTTCTTCCAGATTGTCAAATTTGTTGGTGTAGTGTTGCTCATAGTATGTTCTTATAATTGTCTGTATTTCTTCGGTGTTAGTTGTGATCTCTCCTCTTTCATTTATGATTTTATTTATTTGGTCCTTTCTCTTTTCTTTTTGATAAGTCTGGCCAGGGGTTTATCAATCTTATTAATTCTTTCAAAGAACCAGCTCCTAGTTTCGTTGATTTGTTCTATTGATTTTTTTTGGTTTCTATTTCATTGATTTCTGCTCTGATCTTTATGATTTCTCTTCTCCTGCTGGGTTTAGGGTTTCTTTCTTGTTCTTTCTCCAGCTCCTTTAGGTGTAGGGTTAGGTTGTGTACCTGAGACCTTTCTTGTTTCTTGAGAAAGGCTTGTACCGCTATATATTTTCCTCTCAGGACTGCCTTTGTTGTGTCCCACAGATTTTGAACCATTGTGTTTTCATTATCATTTGTTTCCATGAATTTTTCCAATTCTTCTTTAATTTCCTGGTTGACATATTCATTCTTTAGAAGGATGCTGTTTAGTCTCCATGTATTTGGGTTCTTTCCAAATTTCCTCTTGTGATTGAGTTCTAGCTTCAGAGCATTGTGGTCTGAAAATATGCAGGGAATGATCCCAATCTTTTGATACCGGTTGAGACCTGATTTAGGACCAAGGATATGATCTATTCTGGAGAATGTTCCATGTGCACTAGAGAAGAATGTGTATTCTGTTGCTTTGGGATGAAATGTTCTTAATATATCTGTGACATCCATCTGGTCCAGTGTGTCATTTAAGGCCTTTATTTCCTTGTTGATCTTTTGCTTGGATGATCTGTCCATTTCAGTGAGGGGAGTGTTAAAGTCCCCTACTATTATTGTATTATTGTTGATGTGTTTCTTTGATTTTGTTATTAACTGGTTTATATAGTTGGCTCCTCCCACGTTAGGGGCATAGATATTTACAATTGTTAGATCTTCTTGTTGGACAGATCCTTTGAGTATGATATAGTGTCCTTCCTCATCTCTTATTATAGTCTTTGGCTTAAAGTCTAATTGATCTGGTATAAAGATTGCCACTCCTGCTTTCTTCTGATGTCCATTAGCATGGTAAATTCTTTTCCATCCCCTCACTTTAAATCTGGAGGTGTCTTCGGGTTTAAAATGAGTTTCTTGTAGGCAACATATAGATGGGTTTTGTTTTTTTTATCCATTCTGATACCCTGTGTCTTTTGATTGGGGCATTTAGCCCATTAACATTCAGGGTAACTATTGAGAGAGATGAATTTAGTGCCATTGTATATGCCTGTAAGGTGACTGTTATTGTATATTGTTTCTGTTCCTTTCTGATCTACTACTTTTAGGGTCTCTCTTTGCTTAGAGGACCCCTTTCAATATTTCCTGTAGAGCTGGTTT